ATTTGCATTTTCCAAAACACTGAAGATGTGGAGCATCTTTTCGTGCACTTACTGGCATCTGTGTACCTTTCTGGATAGGTACCTGCTCAAAAGTCTTCCCTGTTTATTAACTGAGTTGTCGTTTTGTTACTGAGTTGTAATAGTCCTCTGTGTATTCTGGACACTAGACCCGTATCAGATATATGGTTTGCAAATATTTTCTCCCATTCTCTAGACTGTCTTTTCACACTTTTGACAGTGTCCTTTGAAGTGCAAAAAGAGTTTTTTATTTTGATGAAGTCAGTTTTTCCTATTTTTTTCTTTTGTTGCTTGGGCTTTTGGTGTCATACCTAAGAAATCACCATGTAATCCAAGATCACAAAAATTTACACCTATGTTTTTTCGTAAGAGTTTATAGTCTTAACTTACTCATTTAGGTCTTTGATCCATTTTGAGTTAATATTGTATTTGGTGTGAGGGAGAGATCCATCTTCATTCTTTTGAATGTGGATATCCAGTTATACCAATATCATGTGTTGAAAAGACTATTCCTTCCCTGTTGAATTACCTTGGCATACTTTTAAAATCTACCTTCAACGTTCTATAGCTTGACTGCGGCAGTGGTTACACAACTGTATATGTGTGCATTTGTCAAAACTTACTGAACTGTACAGTAAGAAGAATACATTTTGTTGTAAGTAATAACTCAATAAACTTAACAATTAAAAATTCTCCTTTAACATAGTATCATTTGCCAGCTATATTTCAATAATAAAAAAATTCTCCTTTAGAGAAACCTTCAATTATACAAGGATCACATGCTTCACAAATAGTAAAGTACTATGTATAATAAAGAGTAACTAGAAACCATCTGAGCATCTGTCAGAAAAAAAAAAGTTAAATAGAATGTAGAATAATCACAGGATCACATGCTATGCAATAGTTCAAAGGAATAATCTGGATTTTATAGCTATCAAATTGATAAAGTTTATGAACATTCTATTAAACAAAAAAGGTAAGTACACTATGATTTACACAGAATGAAAGCATGTAAGGAAAAAAGATAAACAAAACCATACTATACAGGCACATATAAATATCTAAAGGTATCTCTGAAAGGTCTGGAAGAGAGGTAACACTCATTGCCTCTGGACAGGGCACAAAGGCACCAGGATTGGACAGGGTGGTCAGAAAGGAGCTGAGCTGCCATTTTTCCCCCAAAGGGAAATCTACTCATCGATTACTTGTGTGATTAAAAATTAATAGTATATCATTTATACAAGTGGTAAACAGGTTTCTAAGTATGGAATCACAGCTTTTACATGTATGTGCTCATCTGTGCATCCCTGCACCCAACTTGCACACACACACACACACACACATACACACACACGAGGCGAACTTACCAATTCGGATTTTCCATACTTTCCCGGAAGACAGACTCCTCCTTCATGGATGCATACTGTGTCCACGTAAGGCAGTGACTCTGTATAGCCATGTTCCTTTCCTGAGGATTGAGCCATGATTCCTCTTCTAACCGGATATCAGGTACCTTTAAAATGTTCACCTGTCCAAAAAAGGGAGGATGGCTTTCTGAATTTAGGAAGAGCAAGCAACGTAAGGACTGTGTCCAGAGTTGCTCTCAGCCTTGTGTATTTAAGAGGACAGGTGACCCTGATGTATGGACAATGGCTCACCAGTGGCTGCAAGTCCTTGATAATCAAACACACTGTGACCTTACTAATGCTGGTGAGGACATGCAGATGGCCCAGGATTTACGCAGGCTGCACAGTCCTGGGCCTGATTTCCCCAACTGCTGAATGCTAAGCACATTATCAGCCTCCTTCGCGTCTCGTCTAGGGCTGGTTATGGCCATCTTAAATTGGCAGGTTCTAATTGGGCCCACTTACCGGCTCACAGACAGGACAATATCAGATAGAATATTTTCTTCATTTTAAACTCTGTCCAATACCTAGAAATTTATGCTTTCCTAAGCAGAAGAAACATGGAAAAACTACAAAGGCAGAATTGTACAAGTCAGAGGTGCCCTTAAATTATTTAAGAATTGAGATACAAGACAAAGTTGAACGCCTTTTTAAATAATAGATTCAAAGCGCGGAAACAGGGCAAAGGCAGGGTACACACTGTGGAAAAAGTCAGCAGTAATTTGTAGCATACACTACAATATATTTTACCATCTGGAAAACAAAAGGAAGTTCATTTTCACTGTCACATCAGCCTTCTTTCCACTAAAGAAAGTGACAGTCTTAACCCAGGATCAGGAAGTGACAGAAGCAGCCGTTTTTAATGCATACAGCACAGCAGCGTAATTTGCAAGCTGATCGGTGGGAGCCCTGCACCTGGGTTCTATATCACACACAGAATCGAATCGCTTCCCGGGTTGAACGACCATCTGAGCGTTTTTTAAAAGTTGCATTCCTTTTATTTTGGTAAATTTACACACATTTGGTTTTATCTCTTTTTTGATAGACTTCATCAGTGAAGTTATCTACAGCCTAGAGTTTTTGTTGTGGGAAGATCTGAGTCATTTGAAAATGAATGAAAATAAATGCTTCTGCCATCAAAAAAAAAAAAGTGCTCCTCTTATTTCCTAATGATTCTAAAAGGGCTCTTGTCAATAATCCCTTGATGGTTGTAAAGCAATGTGATTAAAAACTTCCACTCACCTTTCTCCAACAATCACCCGAGTGCTTAAGGATTTAAAAGAGAGAAAACAATGTGCTATCATGAAGATTTCATCATCCATGCCATTGCTTTACAGAAACAAACAAAAAAACACTTAAATAAAGCACTGAGAACCTTAACACTCCCTGAAATAACCACTCTCTCTGACAGTGAAATGCAAACGAAAGCTTTTCTCTTCCTTACTGAAGACCAGACTAAATATTTACCATCTGCCCACTTTTGATCATTCTTACCTAAGAGGCATAGCTAACCATGGACAGACTAGAAAAGATGGTCACTTCATGCAAAATACCCAAAGTATCTTTTAAAACAATTGTGGACCATCTCTATGTACACTAAGCGCCCTCCGCAAAAGAGAGACGAAGCAGAAAAAAACTGTTTCTGGTGCATCTGTATAAACTGAAAGTGGACAGGAGAGAGATTTCTTCCTTTGAAGGGCTCTGAGGCAGGAGAACCGGGAAAGCTCTGACGTTCCTTTACGTCGGAAAATGCTATTTCTTTCCATGCCTATTTGGAAAATTACCCAATGTTACACCAAATCTGATGAAATTTTGAAATAAATTTACCTTCCTTAAAACTTCTGGAACCACATTCTGACAGACTGCAATCCTCTTTCTATAGATGATCCCTGTTGACACATCTAGAAACAGAAAATTTTTACACTCAAAAAAAAAATTTAAGGAAATGTATTCCTGTTTTAATGTCAACAAAACTTCCAATGTCAATCTCAACTTTCTATAAGTAGAATTGCTAAAGAAAAACTTTAACTCAAAACTCAGTATCTCTGACCACGTTTCTGGTCCAAAACTTTCCAAATACCTGTGAGCAACGAGTAAGAATAAAACAGCTAGCCATTCACACTTCTCATTCTAAAGTCAAGGAAAAAAGAATGGCAAATTTTTCACTGGTCTGGACTATCAATGTCAACCCGCCAATGACAATGGCCAGTGAGCCCCCAACTCAGCTCCAACTAAGACAACGCTTTACCAAAAAGATGGAGAATCTGATTCTGCCATCTTCAACACCAAACATGTTTTCAAGCACCGATTTCCAGCTACAAATTTATATCTGTAATTAATTATATTAGGCATCACTGTCTTTCATAGGACAGCAGACTCCCTGTGACTGAAACTATTCTGTGTTGGAATAAAGGTTCCAGAATAGCACCAGGGATATAAAAAACACACAATAAATGTGAGTTGGGAAAAAAAGCAACCAAATCAGAGAAAAAGATAAACTCTAATGTCCTTTGCCCTGTGAGTTACTGTGACTCAGCTCTGACAGGGTTTCTCAAGCTCTGGCTCTAAGAGCCCTGAACCTTTGTGCAAACACCCTGACTGCCCAGAAGCTGTTGGTAGGGTGAGGAACTGGCACCCCTTTGCCATTTCATCCAGCGTTTGCAGCACACATACTGAAAATGGATTAGCCCCTCCTGGGAGCAAAGATGCCCCCATCAGTGGTAGAAATTAGAATAAACCACTTTGGAATATGCACCTTGTTCTCTCATTTGATCTTCACAACCATCTAAAAGCAGGTTGTTATCACTTTCCCATTTAACAGATGAAGAAATGGAGCCTCCTAGAAGTTGGGTCATGCAGGCAGTAAGGGAATCAGGACTTGAAATCAGATTTTTCTAATACCATATAACAAGTTTCTCCCACGAGGGCCAGTACATGAGAAAATGTTTTTTTAATATCTATTTGTAGAGCTATGGAAGTGTAGAAAATACCCTCGCAAGCTAAAGACAGTTCTCTGTTCACCAAGTACAGAGAAGGCCTCAGAGTCACACAATGAACGGTTGCATCTCCTGTTTTCTCAGAAGGTTCATAAGCATGTTAGACCAGGCCTGGGTGTCTCGAAAGGTTGTACATGGATGATATGCATCACATGGCTTCCCGCATAGTCCAGCCCTCAAGATCAAACAGTGACAGTGAAAACACTTCCTCTGGAGATGTGAACGACAGAGGACAGGGAAGACTCCTGTGCTCCACTCCGGGGGTGGGTAAACATTTTTTGTAAAGGCCCAGATGGGAAGTATTTCAGGTTTTGTCTCTGTCGCAACAACTCATTTCTACTGTTGTTGCCAGGAAGCAGCCACAGATTATACAAAAATGGGCACAGCTACGTGCCAATAAAACTTTATTTATAACAACAGGCAACACAAAGCAGAGTTTGTCAATCCTGGCTCTAGTCAATACTGAACCATACTACTAAGCGTAGTTTTGATTCCATAACCTAATCACTTTACAGTCACATCTCATACACAGGTTATCAGTCACGTCTATTTTGCCATCGATAAAATCACACATGAATGTAGTAAGGGATATAGCCACATGGCCTCGGGCAAGTTATTGAACCTCTTTCCGCCGTGGTTTCTTCACTCATTAAATAGAAGTGATAATACCAACCCCTTACATGGCTCTGAGGACTAAGTTAATAAGAGTGCCAGGCACATATTAAGTGTTCAAAAATGTTAGTTGTTACAACCGTCATCAATTGGAGAAAGGGACAAGAGTGCATTAGACAGGCCTTCTACTGCTGGAAAAACTGGGCACTCTTTTCCATCAGTGACCATGCCTGTTAATACACCTGTTTAAAATGTAACAGGCCACACACACACACAAAGATACACATCTTCACAAAGATTAGTATCCCTTAACGATCATCCCTGAAGTCAGGTATGTTTGGAGAACTTACCTCTTTTTTCCTCCACAATTTTTACCGAGATGACATTTTTATCCATGGGGTTCGGATACTAAATGAAAACACATAAAGAAAAATTACCATTCATTGTGGCCAAAATGAACTGTTTCATAGTAACCACAATTACTTGCAGGAACAATAAAAAATTTTCAAGCAATCTGTAAGGCCAGTTTTCAGCCAAGAGTCTTAATTTTACTACTTGGGCATAAGTAAGTGTGATGCTGTCATCAACTGGACCTGTATGAAATCTAGGATAAACATTCTCTATTTATTTATGGGGTTCTTTTTTTGGAGGTACCAGGGATTGAACCCAGGACCTTGTGTATGTTAAGTATGCGCTCTACCAGTGAGCTATACCCGCCCCCAGAAACCTTCTTTAGAGTCAACTTAGCTCTGGGTGGAGAAGGTGAGGTTAGTTTAAGCTGATTAATAATTAATACTATTAATACTCAACCAGCTGTGCATCAGTCAAGAGTGTTCCCTGTATGAGGCACTGTGCCAAATGGCTTTGCTCGCATGATCTTGTGTAAAGCAGCCTCACTGGGTCATGTGATGTCACTATCTCACCTTTCAGAAATGGAAACTAAGTAAAATTGTAGAGTTTAGAGTCATCCAGCTGGTTAGCGGAAGAGCCAGGAAATTACATCAGGCATAATAATACAGAGCAAATTCCTCCACTAACGTTCTTTATTACTGCCTGGTGACTGGGAATAGAATTACAGACGTGGTCTACGCCAGGTGCTCAATAAATAGTTTACTTATTGATGAAATTCCCCTGAAACACAATTTGGATGTAACAAAGCTGATAATAGCTACCATTTTTCTCCTGGGCAGTTTACATACATTATTTCAAATTAATCCTCAGACTGTTCCTTGAGATATATGCTGGCCTTTTTCTCTTTCATATGTGCCAAATAAGGTTCATATAAACAATTTGCTCAAAATCACCCAGCTAATGAGCAACAAGACTGTAATTTATCCACAGATATTTTCTTTTGCCCCTAAAGCCTGCCCACCTAACCGGCCCTCAAACACCTCTGTGACTCAAATCCTTCCCTTTCCACCGTTCAGACGCAAAAAGAGACTCAGAGCGGAAGTAACAAAGTATCGTCCTCAAAGCGGGAGGACAAGAACCTCAGGCTCCATTCCCAAAGGCTTGCTGCTTCATCATGTGATCGAACCTGAAAAGAAGTTACAGGGAAGCCTTATCCAAAACAGCAGAAGATGCTGAGGGGGACGTGGGAGCAGCAAACAAGCTGGAGGCAGGGGACAGGGGTATCCACTTGATGACCTTGAGCTTCAAGCCTTCCGACCCAGGAAATGGCAACACAACGCAGTGAGTAAGGGGTCTCCCCCACCCCACGGCAGCCGTGTGCATGTGCATGTGCGTGCGTGCATGCGTGTGTGTCTGAGGTTGCCTGGCTGACTGATTGACTTCAGGGAAAAGGGTCCATCATCTTCACACGTGCTTATTAGAGATATCTGTGGCCCCAAAGACAGGCTCTACAAGAGCAGGAATTCTGTATCTCCACCACCTAACACAGTGCCTGGCACGTACCTGGTGAATCTTCACTGGATGAAGGAACGATCTGGAGATAAACATCGCTGATCTCAGGGATTAACATGGAAACCAAACCTTACTTGGCTCGGGGATCAATCAGAGAAGCGAGCAGTGGGCCCCGAACTCGCCATAAACTCTACCATTCACACTTCCCTCCGGGCCACTGCAATCTCGAGAACTAATCAAAAACATGGCTTTTTAAATATTCATTCATTCTCTCATTCAAACATTTCTCCCCCCCCCCCGCCAAAAAAAAACTGCTCAAAATTACAATGACTGTCTTCTTGAAGTTTAGCTTTCAGGATTTTTTTTGAAGACAATGTCCATTATAGTGGGTCAGGTTTAGCTATTCTGTTCCTCAGCAAGGAGCCTCACTTACACAGCACCCTTGAAGCTAGGGAGACATCTGAGACTCACAAAGAGGCCCTGAATTTGTATTGTGCCTCTGTGCGTGTGCGTGTGCGTGTGTGTAAATGAGAACTTTTATACTAAGATAAAATGAGAATATGAAAGTACCGCCTTTACTACAGTTCTAGTTTCCTCGTTTTCTGTCCGTCAACATACCCTGACTGACTGAATATTATAAACACACTGTAAATTGTAAGAAGATTACTGAGCTAAATAATGAGAGGGTGGAAATGTAATCACCAGAGAAGGATAATGATAAAAATTTCCCAAGTTCTGATTACTTCGCTAAGTTATCAGTGAAATTCCTAAAGATTATAAACTCAGTTTATTGACACTCTGCATAACTTTAATATTTGCTTATTAAGGTGAAAGGTATTGATTTTAAAAATAGTGAAAACTACTTGTTCTTCATTTAACAGTTTTGTGACTACCTACCTGGCCAGGCACTGTTCCAGGAACTAAGGATACAGTAATGAAACAAAACTGTAGCCTCCTAGAGTTCACATGTTAGTTGGAAAAACAAACAAATAAAAAATAAAATATAAGCGGGGAGGGTAATAGCTCAGTGGTAGAGCACATGCTCAGTATGCGTGAGGTCCTGGGTTCAGTCTCCAGTACTTTCATTTAAACAAACAAACCAACCCCCTCCCAAAAGAAAATGAACAAAAAAATCTTAAAAATTAAAATAAAATATAAAAGGGGATGGGAAATCATGAAGGGGGCCACTGTGAAATATTTAAGGGTCACTCATTAGACAATGCTTGTAAATTACAACAGTAAAACTGAAGTTTTCTTAGCCAAACACAAGAGATCCTATACTATTCACTCTAGTAAACCCGTTTGCAAGATTCAAGTCATTTTCTTATGCAACTACTTTTGGAATTGAATAGATGTGAGCCTCAAGTTTCCTTCCGCAGGAGACTAGGAAAAGAAATCAGAGGTTTACTTACAGTAGCTAAACACCGTGACATGAGAAGCATACATTTTAACTGGTTTTAAATTAAAGATTTACTGTGCTGAGGCGCCCCCTGCCTGGCATTACTTGAAATGATCTGACATCATCTTAGGGTAAATTGAGCACTCCTGATCTAATTCACAAAAATTTATCTGAAGTCAGATATAAGGGTACAAGAGAAGGCAGGCTGCTAGGAGAGGGTTGCCACTTTGGGAAGGCAGGAAACAGGCAGCCAGGTTTTTTGGACACCTTTTCAAACACAGTGTGACAATGGAAAGGATCAAGCTAGATCAGGATCAAGCCCATCAAAGACTTACTGAGCATCCACTGCCAGTGCAGGGCGCTGTGTTAGAGGCTGCCATGTGTATTATCTCATTTCATGCTCCCCCAAATGAGTACACCCAAAAGGAGTCTCCGTGTTAAAAACATAATGGCATAAAGCCTGCACACAAGTGGGGTCCCACCGGGATTCTCCAGTCCCTGCTGCAGACCAGGGACTCTCATGGAAGCAAAGTGTTCTGATGACCCAGATGTCTGCCAAAAACCCTTGCCATCCTTGGACCCAGCTCAGTGGCATAAGAATTACTGCAGGGGGCTGTGCACATTCCCTGTGCACGCCGTACACTCTGGGTGACGCAAGGGATTTTTCAAGGTACATCTGACTTCATTCTGAATTTACTTACAGTTCTTATGTTCTTCACAGAGCATATAAAGTAACTCCTTTCCTTTCTCCCTTCCCCAAGATATAAATCTGTAGCAAATATCATGCATACAGTATATGTACGTTAACAGTCTAACAAGGGTAAAATGTAGACTCTCCTGCGTTGTCATGGACCTTGCTTTCATATATTTTTTTACCTAGTAAAAGGCAAGAGGCCAAAACTGCAAAATAATGGGTAAAAAACACAACATACATTAAAACAAACACACAGCTATGAAGAGCGGGGGGCCAAGAAACGGAGCCCATTAATTACAGGAATCACATTCAATGCATTTCTTGAGGTAGATTCATGAAGATGGGGTATATTTACCTTTCTTATCTACAGGGGGAAAAATATGTAAGTTTTCATGAAGCCTACTCTTAAGACAGTAGGAGTTATTAAAATATCAACTTTTACAAAAGCTGAGAAATCAAAGCCTGCCTTTCATAATATAATATTAAAAAAAAAAAGTCAGTGACCTCCCAAGTAGCCATTGTTTCCAACGGCCAAACGACATTATCTAAGAGCACAAGGAAGCCGCGGAGCTGACATCTGTATCAATCCTGCAAAGAAGGCCAAAGGGACCTAAAGTAAGTCTGGTATATCAACATATTGGTTTTACAAGCATTAAGGGAAACTTCGCTACCCAGGCTGCTGCCAAACACGTGTATGAAAAGGGACAAAGCTTGCTGAAAAGAGATCTGGTATTTAGCTACACAAAGAAATCACCGTGGGCTGTGCCAGATTGCCTGCGTGAGCTACAGGCAATAGTCTATCTTAGAAACAAAGCAAAGTTGATTTTATACCAAGATCAAATGATTAATCAAAACGTCGACGATCAAAGACTAAACATATTGAAGTCAACAGATATTCTGAATGGCTGTTCGTTGGCCTTTGGGTCCAGTAGGAGGATGAAGTAGAAAGAACAAAGGATAAGGAGCCAAGACAGGCAGGCCATGATGCTACCATCCATGCAGCCAGGGCAGTGGACCACCAGATGCTCCTCGAAGGCCCGTCAGCCTGGGAAGAGTTATGACTGTAAACAAAGGCCAACCATGGTCTTTCACCCTCATTCATTCCAAAATATCCCAGTAACTGACAATGGCATAATGAAGTTTTTTGAAAGGAATAGTTCACATAATTGTAAAAGAAAATCCTCTTATCTAAAACCCAATGCATTTAAAGATACAAAGTCTACAAACTAACTAACCACTGATTTTTAAAAAGCACTATGGTCCAGAAAGACTAAGGAACTGTCCCACACTGGAGGAGACTAAGACAACAACAAAAGCAATGTGGGATCCTGGAATGGATCCCAGACCAGAAAAACGGTATTAGTAAACAACGGCCAAAATCTGAATGAGGAAGGTCTGTAGATTAGTTAACATGGTATCAATGTTAAGTCCCTGGTTTTCAAAGTTATACAG